TTATGTTGCATAACCAGTTGGGTTTGTGAAACAACACGAAGAAAGCAAGGTATACAAGCTGCATAAAGCCCCGTATGGACTTAAGCAAGCTCCAAGAGCTTGGAATAAGAATATATATATCTTTCTAAGGGAGAAGGAACTTGTGAATTGCACAACCGAGCATAAAGTATATGTAAGAAAAAGCAATAGTAAATTTCTTATACTATGTCTCTATGTTGATGAATTGTTGATAACAGAAAGTTGCAAGAAGGAGATCGAAGACTTTAAACCCGATCTAAGTGAGGAGTTTGAAATGTCATACGTGGGAAATCTCTAATATTTCCTTAGCATCAAATTCTACAAGAGTGGTAGAGGTTTGATTATGCACCAAAGAAGATATGTAGGAGAAATACTCAATAGATTTGAGATGCAAGATTACAACCCAACTTTGACTCCAATTGAGCCCAAAAGGCAACCGTCGAAAGATATAAATGAAGATGATGTCGATCCAATGTAGTACATAAGACTCATTGGATCACTTTGATCTCTTTGTGACACAAGGCTTGATCTAGCATACACTGTAGGTATAGTGAGTAGATTCATGCAGAAGCCAAATGTATCACACCTAGCAGCGACGAAGAGGATACTAAGGCATCTGAAATGAACTCTTGACTATGGAATTTTGATTCCTTCAGTCGATGAAAGAAAAGAGTGCAAGTTAGTAGGATACACCGACTCAAGTTGGTGTAGTGATGTCGAGGATAAAAAATCCACAACTAGTTATGTGTTTATACTTGGTGGTGCACCAGTTGCTTAGAGTTTAAGAAAGAAACCAGTAGTGGCACTATCTTCGTGTGAAGTAGAATACATAACTGGTTTTCTTTGTGCATATCAAACAATGTGGATGATGAATTTTGTCGAAGAGAATACATGGAAGAATCACAGAGCAATTACCATGAAGATTGACAGCATGTCTGCTATCAATCTGACGAAGAATCTGATAGCACATGGACGAAGCAAGCACATCGAAATGAGGTTCCATTATCTTTGAGAGTAAGTAGCAGATGGGAATATGAACTCGGAATACTACAGAATTGAGAATCAAATTGTAAATATCATAACAAAAGGAGTGCAGATTGAAGTGTTCAAGAAATTAAGATTTATTATGAATGTAGATAGCTTAGACACAATGAATTAGGTGATGTGTTGAAAGTATAATTATTTGTATTAAAGTAGTATTTTTGACAGTTTGTAGTCGTCAAAATGTTATGTGCCAAAATTGTGTGAGTGTCGAAATGTTGAAGAAGTGTATCTTGACAGGAATTTCGACCTATGTCTAATTTTGTAGTGTTAGCAGAATTAAACATCTTGGGTTTTGCTTGAGGAGTAAGCAGACCCAAGATCTATAAATAGGGAGTAACCCCTATCATAATGTAATGAACTTGCAGTTGCAAAGAATAAAATTCCAGTTTGGAAGCAGAGAGAAACTTTATAGAAAATCTTTTCTCCTATTTTTCTCTAAAACCCTAATCTTTCTTTCTTTCCAATTCAATTTTTCTTCTTTCATTATAATTGTGCAGCTCTACAATCTTGCAACCAAGGTTTGTTGATTTATTTGAGTGAAGAGTGAAGAACATGAAGATAATTCAATAGGTTGATTGAATCTTGTTCATCAAGATTGATTCAAAATTACTCAAAGTTTTGGGTTTAATTTTAACAAATTAAGGGAGTGGAACACTGAACCAACCTGGCACTTAGTCAAATTAAATGTCATGTATATTTTTCGACAAACTAATGTGAATTGCATTATATTAAAATAAAAAGTAGATCTTAGCTGCGGGAAGTCATATGATTTAATAAGACCTATATAATATGTATTTGATTATTAAAAAATTATAGGTTTATATATATATATATATATATATATATATATATATATATATATATATATATATATATATATATATATATATATATATATATATATATATTCATTAATTATAATAGATATGTGATCGTACCTGATCAGAGAGATCACTGGACTGCCACGCGTCTGAGCTGTCGAACAGTAGACTTGACTGACAGAGGGGGGGGGGGGGTGTACCTGAAACACACTCTGATGGTAAAGTAAGTAACAGTCAGGGCGATTACAAGTACAGAGAAAAGGAGTGAGAATTGATTACCTGACCCTCTAGTGGAATATCGTATTTATAATGAGCCCCCAACGCAGGGCCAACGGTTATTATGCGTTGGGCTGGGCTGCCAGACCCAACATTGGTAACTGTTAGGGCTGACGTGGCGTCGCAAAGACCAGCACGTGGTCTTCATCCTAGTGCAACTGTTTCGTGCTATCTGGGAGGTGGAAGATCGAATCATCAGGACACAGATAGTTACTTGATGACGTGTCTCCGTGTAGGGGACATGTAGAGAACGTGGGGAAGGTCTGAGGAGCTTCCCAAGCTAACAGGGCCCTGCCCGACTATGGGGCAGAAGAAGGCTGGTCGAACAGCTATGAAGGTCCTGCCCGACGGATGTTGGTTTGTGTTCGACGGAAGAAGATGTTCTGTCCGACGGGCCTTCTGCTGTTGGTAGATGAGGTCTTATTAGGCCTTCCAACCTGTTGGGGTTTGGGCCTGCCCGACGATGGGCCAGGCGTCGGCCCAGTCCAGAACAATATGTATTTATATGAATACAATATATTATAGTAGATATAAATATAAACAAATGTCATATTAAATCAAATGTATTTGACAATAATATAATTTATCTAGTGTTGTATTTATGGAAGTCCTAAACTAGGGCGTCCTCGCTCGAGAAACGTATCGCCTAGGTGATGACACAAAGACCCGTTCAGAGGTATCTGTGATGTATGAGTCAAGAAAGTGGGAGTCTATACTAATTCTTGAAAGATAAGTGGTTAATAACCTCCCTTGCTAAGAGGGAAACAGTTGACGCCACTTAGGAGAACTGAAACCCTAGGTCCAAATAGCCTCTATAAATACTCTTTTCCCAAGGAGAGAAATGAGATCATTCTTTACTCCTCAAAAGAGCACAATGTTTACTAAAGTTACAACACCACAATTGATCATAACCATACACTTTCTCCTAAGCGTCAGCGTTCATCTGCAGAGCCTTTTATCTCACATGAGAATAACTCTTAAATTATCTAAAAACACCACCCTATAAGGCTTTTCTCCATCGTGGGAAAGTCCTAATCACCTTATCGTATTATAAATCTACTAAAGCCTATGAGTTTGAAATATATTCTACTTATTAAAATACACATATATCAAACTCTCTTCAATTTCTGACATAATCCAAAATATCGTAAGATTTGGAAATATACCTTATTGAGCATGTTTGCATAAATAAATCTCATTGATATTGAATTGTAAACCTGATACCAAAAAATGACATTTAAACTGTAATAGTGCATTGATCAGTCTTAAATTATATCACCTTAAATGTTATCTCAAGATGATTCTTATGTATTGATCTCTCTATACTTATTATTTTACTTTGCAATCATGTATCGTTGTTAATTACACAACGTGTTGTTAATGTTGTGGTATCCATGGTGTATGATTAACATTAATACTTGAATGCAAAGTAAAATAGTAAGAATGAAAAGATCAATACACGAGAAATATCTTAGTTTGTCTAATATGGTCTTGTCCAGTTCTTACAACTTTATAAGGAGGCGGTTCAAACAGACACTTGTCAACTAAATGGTATTCTTTTAGAAATAGTTGTTATGGATTCTCAATTTATAGCGGGTAGTATGAGATTCGTAGTGAGTAAAAAAATCACTCAGTTGATCAAATATACTACCAATCAACTTTTACTTCTTATTATATAATATGTATGTCCTGAGGAGTGCGCATGCAAGAAAGAAGTTTGAGCTTAATGCAAATAGCTAGCTAAAATTTCTTTTACTTTATATAATTATCAAATCAATAAAAATTATTCTATGTAACATACTTTCACTAAAGTTTAGAGTATGAGTCATAATTAAAAGTAATAAGACTTGAATTACTTATTAAATGCATGATAATGCCAATCTTTGATAGACATGATCCATCAAGAAAACATGAAAGATCACACAATGGCGATCTAAATTTAAAAAGATGACTCAAGAATTTATACTATCATACTTTATAGTAAGATAATTATTATGAAAAAATATTTTTTTTAAATAGTTTAGTGATTAAAATTCATTTTTTAAAGTGAACAAATGAGATGTAACAAATTTAATTTACATCCCTACATCTAATGTTTTTACACAACTATTAATTAAGCTTAACAGAATAATTGTAAAAATTAACTCGCCAACTTTAGTCTTGAGTTGAACAAGATAAAATTATTCAATATGTTCAATAAACTAAAGGTTTTTCTAATTGATTATACCACTCAATTGTCTTTTTTTTTCATACTAGAATTTTGTATTAAATATTTTTTCAAAGAATTAATTTGTGCACGAAGTAAATTTTTTTTTATATTATCAATCAATTATAATTGTTAAAATATTTAAATTTAAATATAAATTTTTTTAAAATTAAACATTTGAATAATTATAATTTTGTTATAAATATAATTTTTCTTACACCTTCTTTGTATAATAATTAAACTTTTTTTGTTTTTACCTTCAAACCCTCTTTTTTATATATATATATATATATATATATATATATATATATATATATATATATATATATATATATATATATATATATATATATATATATATATATATATATATATATATATATATATATATATATATATATATATATATATATATATATATATATATATATATATATATATATATATATATTTTACCTTACTCGGAAATTTATTTATTTAAAAAAATAGAGTAACTTCTAAAATGGTTTACAGAGAATCATAATAAATGGAAAATTGAGAAAAACTCAGTGAAGATCCGTGTAAGCGCTTTGAAGTGAGGTTACCACCACCAACAACCACCACCACCGCACTATCTTACACCCACTGCTATTGAAATGGGAACGTTAGGCAGAGCTTTCTACGCCGTCGGATTCTGGATCCGCGAGACCGGCCAAGCTATCGATCGTCTCGGCTCTCGTCTCCAAGGCAACTACTACTTCCAAGAACAACGTACGTTCCACTCCCAACACTTGTCCATTTTTCATCTCAAATCATTTTCCGATTTTTCATTCATTTCCTAGCTAGTTTCAACTCTTCCTATTACTCAATTAATTAATATTTTAATTGCTTTTCAATAGTTAGGGTTTGAAACGCGCTTTATTTGAATCGCACTTATTGATTATGATTTTCTTTGTTTATATGGGGGTTTCGATTTGTGTTCAGTTTCCAGGCATCGACCTTTGATGAATGTGTTTGATAAAGCTCCTCACGTTCATAAAAATGCTTTTATTGCACCCAGTGCTTCCATTACCGGTGATGTTCAGATTGGCCAATCTTCCTCCATTTGGTATGGATGTGTCCTCAGAGGTAAACCACTGAACTCTGTATAAAACACACTTAAGTTTTTTAAGCACATTGCCACTGATATTTGTTGAAGGATTTGGAATAATATTGTTAAAACAATAGATACAAATTATAGAAGATTGATTATACTAAAACAAAAATCGGAATCTAGAATGCCTACCTTTAGGATCCATGAGAAATGAGACATAACATGTGAGACCGAATTAGTTAATAACTGTCTAATGAGTCATCGATTAGATAAACAAATAATCAAATAGGTAAGGGCAGGGACCTCGTGTCAGGCATAATAAAATGGTGAAACTCATCACGAACCATTCTAAACAAAATCCAGTACATGTTCTTCAATTGATTAATGCTTAATAGCAATTTTCCTTAATTAATAATAATTCCTTCAACTCGGTTTCCTTATTTTGTGTATGTGTTACATGGTTTTTATTGAGATATTTATTAATTTTGTTTTATTTCTGGGACGTATGACCGTAACAAGAGGTTTTAATATTTATCCCATCACCTATTGAACATAATTAAGTTTCAGAATTCACATGTTCTACCATTTGTCTTTAATAAACGTGGTTTGCAAAAATACATGAGTATAGAATCTTATCTGAAATCCAACTTCATATATGCTGAGTTTTCCTTTTAATTTCATTGTAATGGAACAAAGTCGTGCCTCAAAAGACGCGGGGGACTCCAAACTGCCCAAATTTCACCTAGGGCATGCTTGGTTGATCTAATATTTTGCACTCAATTTTTGAAACAAAGATATGTCCACTTTGGGTTCAAGTTTGGAGTTGGATTCTCGCATCTCAATACTATACAAACATGATGATTGTAAAGCTTCAAATAAGTGAAGTGAAATGTAAGGTGACGCTGCATTACACACGCATGCTACGTGGAAAGAAAATTCATTCACTTCAGGACTGTGATTTTAAGGCCGTATTATTCCCATTGCTTGAAAATGGCATTCAGTTCATTTAGATGCCTTTTCCAAACCCCGAATTGCTGACCACTCGTAACCTCACTGCATTACACTCCCCTTTGCTCTCTTTCGATAAGAGTAAGACGAAGATGACCATGCTTTGAATACCTATTTCCTTCATTTTAAATTACTTCAACTTCAACTATTTATATTCAAATGGAGTGTTAATGACAACTGTTGTACATATATTACTAATATTCATGCTCTCAATCTTTTTATATGCACATTGTGTACTCCATATTAAATGGGGTTTAGTATGAATAATCCCCACCTCGGCCTGCCTATCTTTCTGATATTTGTGTTTCTACTGCTGTTTTGTTACTTTTAACTAAATGATATTTTTTCTGTGAAGGTGATGTTAACAGCATTACTATTGGATCTTCAACTAATATACAAGACAATTCTCTTGTTCATGTTGCTAAGTCTAATTTGAATGGAAAGGTATTACCTACAATCATTGGAGATAATGTCACTGTAGGTGAGTAAAAAGGATAAGTGATCATTTTGTCAATGACTTAAACATGGTTTTTGTGTGAACATTATCTAAGAATTTGGCACTATGAATTTAGGTCACAGTGCTGTGTTACATGGGTGCACTGTTGAGGATGAGGCATTCATTGGCATGGGTGCAACCTTGCTTGATGGTGTGTATGTTGAGAAACATGCCATGGTTGCTGCTGGAGCTCTTGTCAAGCAGCATACTAGGATTCCATGTGGAGAGGTTTGTATGAACATGTTTCCTTCAGAGAAGGAAGTGTACCTTATTCTGATTGAAATTAATTAGTTTTAGATATTATAACTTTCTACAATTATCAATGGAAGTTATCATAGAGCATTCATGATTCATTCTATGTGTGATTCAATTGGACTATATTCAAATGAATCGATCAAAAGGTTTTCATCTTATTTACGACTAACATGTGTATTTTGCAGGTTTGGGGAGGTAATCCAGCAAGGTTCTTGAGGAAGCTTAAAGAAGATGAAATGGCATTCTTCTCACAATCTGCCTTAAATTATTCCAGTTTGGCTCAGGCTCATGCTGCTGAAAATGCAAAACCACTGGACGCGACTGAATTTGTGAAAGTTCTTGACAAGAAGGTTGCTCGTTCTGAAGATGGTTCAGTACTCGACGCTGTTCAAGACACACCTCCAGAGATTAACCTCCCAAATAATGTTGTGGTAGATAAAGTTCCAAAGGCTTAATTTCATTTCTTTAGAGTACTTTTTATGTGCAATTTCTAGGATGATGGCTGCTCTTGTTTTCAATAAGTTTTGTCAGTGCTTTGGTGTTCATACTGTTAAATTGAATATCAGAACATGCTATACGTGGTGGCGTATGGTTAATTTTTTTGGTAATACCACAATTTGGTTGTACTTAAGGCATCCAGGAACATATCTGCAGTTATACAGCACTGCAGTTTGGCATGTACTCTAAAATAAAGAACATCATTTTAAATGAGGAAGGATATCTCTATTTTTTCATAACAAAAAGATCACCCAGATTTTAGGTCTATAAGACTCTGATAAAATTATCTGATAGCAAATTAGATAAGCTAGCCGGCGGCAATTTATAGCTGAAGATCGGTAGCTTATAACTATAAGCTAATTTAAGTATTTGATAAATTAGTAGTTATACTAGCTGATTAATATAAAATGACATAAAAAGACATTCATAATTAAAGAATTAGTGGTCTTATTTATTAAATTAATTTTTTATTCAATAAAAATAAACGCATTAACAATCAAATACAAAATATTTTAAATATAAATATAAAATTAAACATAATACAAAAATATATTAAATACTTATATATAAATTTTGTAATGAAATTTAAATATCTAAAAGAATAATATTGTAATTTGATCTTATATTTTAATAAAGTGTATATTTTATTTTTTTTCCCTCTCAAAATCCATGATATATCTATTAATAAATAAATATATTCAATCATTCATTATCATATTTATAAAAATAATATATTAATAATAAAAACTCAAGTAATAAAATAATTAAAATAATAATTTAAAAGTAATAAAAACAATTCAATGTAATAATAATTTAAAAGTAATAAAAACAATTCAATGTAATAAATCCAAATATTTCATTAATAACAAAATGAAAGATGAATTACATGTAAATTTGTTCGGCAAAAATAATGACTAATTTTTTTTATTCCTCAATTAAAACACAATTATTTTAATTAAAATCATAATAATATAAAAGATAAAAATGAGTTTTTGATAAATTAGTGAGGGCATAAATGGAGAAAAATTATAAGTTAAAAGTAGGGCTGGAAATGAGTCGAGTCGAGTCGAACTCACCTCAGCTCGGCTCGACTCGTTAAGAATTGTTCGAATTCGAGTTCGAGTTTGACACGAACTTTTTTTTAAGCTCAAACTCGACTCGTTATAAGTTCACGAACAGTTCAGTTCGACTCGTTAGGTTCATCTCATTAGGTTCAGCTCACATGGTTCACGAACTTAAAAACTATTTTTTTAAATATATATATTTTTTAGTATATTTGACATTTTAAATAAATTTATATATTTTAAATAAAATATTAAAATAAAATAAAAGTTATCATATTGAAATTTAACTTTATCTTCGAAATCTACTAATTCAAAACCTACACAACTTTCAAGAGATACATTTGAGAGTCTAATTCAAAAACTACTAAATTGAAGATTAAATTTGTCTAAGATTTGAAGTAAATATTTAAACCTAATCTTAAAGACAGTATAATTCTTTTCATATGTAATCGAGTTGACTCATGAACCTAACGAGTCGAACTATGTATAGTTCAAGTTCAGCTCATTTAGTTAACGAACTTAATTTTTCGCTCATACTCAACTCATTTGGTTCATGAACCTAGTTCAACGATTTAATTGTCGAGTCGAATTTCGAACTATCTTCGAGTTGATTTGGTTCATTGCCAGCCCTAGTTAAAAGTTATAAACTCAAAAACTACTTTAAATATCTTTTTTAAAAAAACTAAAAACTAGTAAAAAAAACTACAAACTAAAAGTGTAAAAAATGGTTACTAAATATAATTTTTCATTAATGTGAGTTGAAAAGTTAAAAGCTATAAGCTCTTTTTTATGTCTTACCAAAGTTACTCTAAGAGTCTCTTTTGTAAAAATAGTGATTGATTGATAAGATAGTTGATAGTTTATAGTTTATAGCTGATGACAGATAGTTTATAGCTTATAACAGATGGTTCAGACCGACAGTTGATAAACTAGTTGAAGTGTTTTATAAAATTATCTGTTCAACTAATTTATAAATGTAAAATGACATAAAAGATATTTAATACATAATTATTTTATTTTAAATTAAAATAAATTATAAAGGATAAAAATGAATTTTTAATAAAATAATAAAGATAAAAAAAGAAAAAATATATGCTATTACCTATAAGTTATAACGCTATTTGAAATAGTATCTAAAAAATAAATTATAAATAAAAAAATAAACTATAATCTTGTAATGATTTGAAATAGCCTCTAAAAAAAAAACTATAATCTCGTAATCAAAAGATTGTTATCAAATAAATCTAAATTATTATAGAAATTTATAAACTATAAACTATCGGTTAACGAACATATAAAGTTCTCGGAGTTAAAAGTCAAAACTTATTGAATCTAAAGTGAGGGTCCCTACTCAATTCAGATACACCAGCTAAACCTGTTTTTCATGTATCTTGTTATGCTTTAGTATTTATTTATTTTGCTGTTTCTTGTTTTCTTTACATTTCCTCATACATGTTTTAACTTGAATCTATGACTTGGTAGTTTCATTTACACAAGACATGATAAGCTACCCAATTGACGGGTCTATATACAAATTCCAATTAAAAAAATATAAATGTAAATAAACCAAATCATTATAATTATTTAGACCAAATCAAATTTAAAATTTGTTTTTGAAGACTCCTTCAATTTATCACGATGAATTTATCTAAATACAAGTATTTGTAAATTTAATATACACTTCATATTTACATATTTATTTCTTTATAGCAAGCAGTGTATTAACAAAATTATAACGCATTATATTCATTCTTTAATTCATAAAGAAGTTGAGCAAAGTTAATATATTTTGAACATTTTATCAAAGTATATTTAAGCGATTAAAAACTGGATTATGAGTTTTTTTTAATGATTAAGTAATTGATTGGATCATGCAGTGTAATTTACAAAAAGAAAAATAAAAATACAAAAAAATAAAAAAGTTCCATTGCCGGGAATCGAACCCGGGTCTCCTGGGTGAAAGCCAGATATCCTAACCGCTGGACGACAATGGATTGTTTGTTATCGTTTCATTACAAATATATAAAATACATAATAAGTATTTTCTTCCAAGAATTGAAACAAAAATAAACTGATAAAAACACCAATTGTTTTAGAAAAATAAATACAGTAAGGACACTTTAACTAAGCCTGGTATAATGGGAAAAACAAAATTGTCATATATAGTATTATTCACTCAATTATTATTTTAATTATATTTTCATGTGTTGGTCCAACATATCACAGCTTTTATTTAATTGTGGGCGGAAAATTTTTTTGGTATAGCATAAAAAGTCAACAGAACTCTGCATCATATTAAATGTTTTCAAACTACTTACATAGAAAAAAAACATTACATAAAAAAATACAAATGAAAAAACCCAAAAACTAGCAAACCAAACTTGACATATTAGAATATATAAATCACTCTATTATGGTAAGTGCTACAAGTTACATTATATATCTCATCCACATCTCTTACCAAGTCATCACCAACCACTTTTCTCTTCCATCAACCAAATCTCAAAATCAAGCCATGTTTAGATCCAATAGTACTCGAAGAGGCCATGAAAAATATGAGAAACTAGATAAAGAATCTGGTGAAAATAATAGTGGGAGTTCAAATGAAGAGTACTTGAAGAGAAGTGCAAGTGTTCCTTCAGGGCCATCTAATACTAAGGCAAAAATGGCTATGGCTTCAAACTTTGTGGATATTAATCTTCAAAGAAACCCTACAAAGAAAGCAAGTAGTGATCATAAGGAAAAGAGTAGTGCTCACCCACTTTTGAATTTCTTTGATTTTAGAAGGAAGAAGAAGAAAGCAACATCTAAGCCTGAGTTTGCTAGATATGTTGAGTATATGAAGGAAGGAGGCATGTGGGATTCTGAATCAAATAAGCCTGTAATTTATTATAAATGATGTGGCTTGATCAAGTTTAAGATATTTCTTGTAAAAATTAGAGTTTTAATTTCATATATCAAGTTAATTTGCATAAATGGTTTTTTTTTATTTCTCTCTTCTTTTTGTTATTATTATATTTTTATTGATTTTCTATCTTCTCTTACATTTGTTTTGCTTAAAGGAAAAGGAAGAATGAATATTCACCCTTATGCATGTTCAACTTTCTATTGAATCCATTTATACTATGTTATGAATTTATGTGCTTTACATGGTGAATTGGACTCGTGACAACTATGTAGACTGATTGCACACAGAAAGGTTTTGTGGTGATATTGACTAGATTAATATGAGTTGGAAATTTAATGTTCATAGCATAGTTTGAAGAAGAAATAAAAAATGAACTATTGTGTTTATGATTTTTTTTGTTGTTGTTGTCAAATGGCATGGCAATTAGAATTTTACAACTATGAATTGAGTTAATATTGAGTTAATTGTAATTGTAGTTGCAAAATAATATTATTTAAGATTGTTTGTTAATTATCATTGTTATATTGCTTACATATACTAAAAAAAAACAACAAAGTAATGAACGCAACAATCATACAAACACCCTTTTCTTTAATAGCAAAAAGAGTTAATAAAGAACACCCCTATCAATAATTAAAAAAATAAAGAATACCAAAAAAGAGAACAAGGGAAGCAACCGTGCACAAAAACTATAAAATCAATCAAATAAGGGATATCTTAGCCCAATAGCACTGCATGAAGAGGGCAGCCCCTCCACAACAAAACAAGAAGGAAAAACAAACAAACCAAAACCAACCACTAAACCACAAAACCAAACAAGATAAAACTCACCACCCACCAATTTGATCTATTCATCAAGCTATAGTATCAAGCAAGATAAAACTCAGCACATATCGTATTACCAAATGAAAAATGGATAAAAAGTTTATTTGACTAAGTTTTAATATGAAAAGAATGAATAAATTGATACAAAGTGAAAGAGACCAATCGTCTTATATATGCATTTAGGCCAAACCTAAAGCCCTAAAGTCTAACTACCTCAAACCTAAAATAACTAACTAATTATATACAAAGGAAAGTTAGTTATCTTTCTAATAGCCTCCCATAAGCTTAAAGGTTCAACCAGAATGGTTTGATGTTATCAACAATGGTGATGTATGCCATTGATGGAGATAAAAGTAACTGATCTTGTAACTGAAATGTAACAGAATGTAATAGAAAGTGCAGAGAAGAAAGATAGATGAAAAAGTATTGTTACATTCATTAGTTCTTGTGTACATGAGGTGAATGATATATATATACAAGTCAAGATTAATTAACAGCCATTGGATCTTAACTGAACAAGTAATATATAGGCTAAGTACACTAAATTAGTATATAAGCTAATATCCCTCCTCAAGTTGGACTACGGATGCTACATAGACCTAACTTGGATAAAATAGAAGTCAAGGTTGGAGAATGCAATGACTTGGTAAACATGTCTGCAAGCTGATCCGTGGTGGAAATGCGCAAAAGATGAAGGAGTTTAGATTGAATCTTTTCTCGGATGACATGACAGTCAAGTTCTATAAGCTTGCTGCGTTCGTGAAAGGCAGGATTATGAGCTAAGTATATAGCCGATTTACTGTCACAATAAACAAAAGCAGGTTGAGACATATTGATGGTGAGATCTTTGAACAGATATTGGAGCCATTGAAGTTCACAAGTTAAGGATGTTAAAGCCCTGTATTCAGCCTCAGTAGAGGATTTGGAAACTGTGTTTTGCTTCTTTGACTTCCAACAAAGAACAGATGTTCCAAGGAGAACACAAAAGCCAGTGGTAGATTTGCGAGTATCTGGACATCATGCCCAATCTGAGTCAGCAAAACCATAAAGTTTAAGCTCACTGGTGGAAGAAAAGAGGATGCCCTTTGCAGGAAAAAGCTTGAGGTACCTTAGGACTTTGATTGCATCCTGATAGTGTGGAAATAGAGGATTGGAAACAAATTGACTTAGTTGTTGAACAGCATAAGAGATGTCTGGTCTGGTGTTGGTGAGATAAATCAATTTTCCAATTAACTTGCGATAAGACGAGGGATCCTGCAAAGCTTGACCAGTAGAAGTAGATAGTTTCAGGTTGGGATCAAAAGGCACAGAGGAAGGTTTGCAAGCAAGTAAGCCTGTTTCTTCCAACAACTCAAGAGCATATTTCCTCTGATTCAAAAAAATGCCTTTGTTTGATCTGGAAATTTCAAAGCCTAAAAAGAAATGCAGCTGACCAAGATCCTTGATTTTGAATTGCTGATCAAGAACACCCCTGACAAGCTGAATTTCATGATGAGAGTTCCCTGCAAGAACTATGTCATCAACATAAACAAGTAATGCAGTGAAACTGTCTTTGATCACCTTTGTGTACAAGGAATGGTATGCCCGGGACTGAGAATAGCCTAAAGAAAGGAGAAAAATGGACAATTTGGAATACCACTGTCGACTTGCCTGCTTTAAACCATATAAGGATTTTTGCAGTTTGCATACCTGATTAGAATTGGAAACAGAGAGACCAGGTGGAACAGACATATATATCTCCTCATTCAAGTCACCATGCAAAAAAGCATTGTTCACATCCAGTTGCTCAAAGTACCAACCTTTAATGGCGGCAATGGATAGAAGAACACGAACTGTGGTGATCTTAGCAACTGGAGAAAATGTGTCAAAATAATCAACCCCTTCAAGTTGAGTATAACCCTTTGCTATAATTCGAGCTTTATACCTTTCAATGGAGCCATCGGCCTTATATTTGATCTTGTACACCCATCTACATCCAATGGGAACCTTTCCATGAGGCAAGTCCACTACAGTCCAAGTGCGATTCTTATCAAGGGCCTGCAACTCAACATTCATGGCATATTTCCAACAGTCATGCTTAATAGCTTGTGAATATGTTTTAGGTTCAATGTTTGTGGAAACGGAGTAGCAAAGATTTTTATATGCAGGAGAACAATTACTATAAGATAAGACAGAAGAGAGAGGATGCACAACATTGGGAGAATGAATAAAATTAGGAGTATAAGCAGAATAATAGTGGTAATCCGCTAGGTAACTTGGTGGGTTTGAAGATCTAGTGGACTGTCTTAAAGGCAATACAGAGGTAGCTGTAGGCTGAGAGGAAGGGTCAACAAGGGCAGTAGGGGCCTGATGGGGATTAGGAGACATGGGGGCAGAACTGTCATTAAAAAGACCATTGGGAGATGAGCTAGGAGTAACTGACTCAGCAGATGGACTGGAGGATAAAGATGTAGGAGATGTATCAAGGGGTGATAGATGTGTAGGGCTGCTGTTAGGTGATGTGTCTATAGAAGAAGGAGGAGACAAGTCAGTGGTACTGGTGTGTTCAGTAAAAGTAGATGGTGAGGGCATGTCAAGAAAGTCTATGGATAATGGAGAATTATGAGAGGAAGGAGTAAATGGTATAGAAGGCAATTTAAGAGGGAATATATGTTCATAAAAAATGACATTCCTTGAAACAGATATAGCACGACTTTGGAGATTATAAACAATGTACCCTTTGGTACCATCTCTAAAGCCAAGAAAAATAGCCTTGTGAGCTCTAGGATCAAATTTTGTCCTATGTGCTTGTAAAGTGGAGGCAAAACATAAGGGAGGGAGGTTGTTTGTACAAGAGCTCATAAGGTGATTTTGATTTTAAGAGAGGAGTGGGCAGCCTGTTGATAAGATGAATGGTATGTTGCACACAAAAATTCCATAGAGTCAAAGGAACATTAGAATGGAAATAGAGTGATCTAGCAACATTTAATATATGTTGGTGTTTTCTCTCAACCATCCTATTTTGTTGGGTGTTTCAACACATGATTTTTGATGGATGATTCCTTTAGACAACAAAAAATCATTGAGAGCAAGAAATTCTGTACCATTATCAGACCTAAGGCACTTAAGGGAAGTTTTAAACTGATTTTCAATATAAGCTACAAACTGAATAAGACTAGCTTTAGTTTGGTGTTTAGTTTTGAGAAAAATGACCCAAGTATACCTAGTGAAATCATCAACTAAGGTCAAAAAATATTTATTCCCCAAGGTGGATATAGTAGAGAAGGGCCCCCATATGTCAGCATGTAGAATATTAAAAGGAGCATAAGAATTAGAAGTACTATTGGGAAAGGGAAGCTTTCTTTGCTTAGAAAAGTGACAAGAGTCACATGGATCAAGTTTAGTATTACAAGTAATAAAGGGAAGCAAATTTGAAATTTCTTGTAAACCTAAATGAGGTACATGACCAAGTCTTAAATGCCAGGTATTACAAGAAGTAGTATTAACAGAAGGAATAAAGGAGTGGTGGCATGTGGTCTCAAGAGTATAGAGTCCCCTTTGCACATTAGCTATACCAATCATTTCCTTGGAATCGTTCTGCATTATGTGACAGGCATTAGCATGGAATTGGACAAAACAATCGTTGCTATCAACAAGCTTAGCAATAGAGACAAGATTAACATGGAAACTTGGAATGTACAAGACACGGTGTAAAGTCAAGAAAGGAGAAATGACAACAGTGCTAGCTATTGAAGCAACTACTTGAGAACCATTAGGTAGATTAACAGGAATAGGAACTATATTTTTATGATCCTGAAATAAGGAGAGATCAAAGCTAATATGGTCAGTGGCTCCAGAATCAAGGATCCAAAGATTAGAAGTCTTACCATTGACATTAGAGTGAGAGTTTAAGGCAAAAGGAGAGGTGGGTATGGAGTTGGCTAGGGAATTAAGATGTGATTGTTGCAGAAATGCCAAGATGTTAGTGTACTGATCTTGAGTAAGACCAAACGAGGATGCAGTAGAGGAGCCTGTGGATTGATTCTCAGAGGCATTATTGGCCATAACAGCTGGCTGAGAATTAGCACTGGTACCTGTAACTCTACCTTTGCCCTTGTAACCGGGTGAGAATCCATGCTTGAGAAAACAAGTATCAACAGTATGGTTAGTCCTACCACAATGTGTAC